ACTAAGTCTCACTTTATCGCTTGATACAGAAAGTTATTTCTAATATATGCAGAATGTTTTAATACTTAGTTGAATATGAAACACCGGTATCATAAGCTTCAGTGCTGAGCAGGAACAAATAAATGAATATTTACGACGGTAGAAAAAAGTCAAAATAAACTAAGAAGAAAATTTGGGGTGTGAGCATTTTCTTGGCTTATAGTTGCTGAGCTCATTTCCAATTCAAGTAAAGAAGTGCTGAAGAGATTCAAAGTTTACCTTCAATGAAATACTACGGCAGATTTATTTTGGCCATCATTGAGCTGGCATTACTGGAATATTCTTAGTTACACTACACTGAGTTACACTTAGTTACACTACACTACACTCCGTCGATTTCGGTGAAAATGTACTGAGGTTTTGCCTGATAAATGACGTACTTCATCAGAATAGGGTATCATTTTTACAGCTATATTCAAGTCAAAGAAACAAGGAGCTTTCATGACACTGAAACCTAAAGATATTTCTAAAAATATAACAGTGCATTGATGATATCTGTTATATGGGGTGGGAAAGCTTTGTCCGTCTTGACCGGAAACAAATGTGATTGCTTCTGGGACACCTTCAATAAGAATGTTCAAGTGGATATGCGAAGAAAAGTTGCGTTTCGAGGAATCTCTTGTTTCATAATTGGTGATCTTACTTCCATTTCAAGTGAAAGTGTGGGGTGAAGAGATCCGAAGGCTGGTTTCACCAGAAGACGAAGGCGGATTCCTCTTGAACAGCTGTCAATTGGCTTTACTGGAAGATTCATGCTAACGCTGTTTCTGAGGTAATCACGTTCGATTCCGGTGAAAAGGTACTAAGCTTTCAGTCCGTCTCATGACGAAAATCATTAGAGCAAGTTATCATCGTCACAACAAAATTCAATCTAATTAGTCAAGAAAACTTATCGGCAAATCCCTAAAAAGTGGTATATATACTCTACATCTGGTCTCTTTTATCAAGTATAAAGTAATTTGGTTAGTCGTGGTCATATTTCAACTTCGAAGCCTGTGAGTGTGTCGGTCTCTGTGCCTGTATGTGCCTGTTTGTATTCGCTTATGCATGAAACCCGCTGTGATGACTCAAAATAATTAGGACAGTAAAAATTAACTTCCCTTTTTGGCCATCAAGGTTTGTTGAGCCCTTTATAGCGTTTCTACATACATGTTATAACCATCACACCGATTGCGCAAGGACGGACACACGTCTGGTTTTGTTAATAAGCCTTTTTTGTTTTTGGTCTCAATTTGAGAGAGAAAGAGTGAGCAAAAAGTACAGATAAGTGAGTAGGCTTAGAACCAAGACAAAAAAAGACTAGTTGCGTCGCCTCCTTTTTGCAGGTGGCTCAACTCTCTCTTCCTCTCTATCCTTGAGTCTATTAATTAGACTCAAGTAATTTTATTTTTCGTTTTTGAGTAGAGTTTCGAGACGACCAGTATATCAGTAATATGAGATGTATTTACCCAATTTCGTTAAGGTGATCAAGGACTGGTAGAAGACGAATTTTCCCAAAATGATATGATTTACTGGTAATCACAAAAACAATACTCTTTTCGAAAAATAAAGTAAAGTAGTCGATTGTTATATCAGATATACGTTTGCTTCATCGACAAATTGACTTACAATTGGCTTCTTTGTCCGGCTGTATTCAGTGCATTGTTTTGCAATTTTACTAACGTAGTTTAATAGAATAGAAGAAGACCAAGCTGTTGTGGCCTCTGTCCGCCAGACCATCAGTCATTTTATGCAATTTTATAAAGTCTTCTTGAAAAAAATAGCTGAGAAATTGATTCCCTAGTCCTTATTTTGGTTCTAATCAGGTTATGCAATTTGTCTATACTTTCTATGAATCTTGTATTAACTCAAATGATGTTCGTCATATGACGGACAAGAATTAGCAACTTTTCACTGAAATCGAAGGAGATTACCTCGGAAACAGAGTCAGCATGAATGTTCTAGTAAAGCCAATCGATTTCAGGTTAAGAGGAACCCGCCGTCGTCTTTTGGTGGAAGCAAGCATCGAATCTTTTCACCAAACAATTTCAATCAGAATGGACTTTTAGTGAAGGGTCTCACATAGAGTCTTAAGGCCAGACTTATGGAATCGCTTGATGTTTGTGTAAGCAGAGGAGAAATTGTATTCACTTCTTTAGAGGGATGCTAGGGTACCTTCGGCATACAGCCTTAAAAAATAGACAAAGAAGGAGTTCCTTTAAGATTGATTGTTAATAACAATGGTACTGTGATGCATAGGATCTCACGTTTCTTAT